GCTGGGGATTCGAACCCGCCACCTTAGGTGTACGTGGCTGGCGCCTTAGCCAGTTGAGCTATAGGCACCGAGCCAGTTTTTTTTTTAAATAGTGATAGAGGACATGTCTGTTCCTAATGTTAGGGAGAAAGTGTTCACTGTTTTATTATTTAGCATGTTAACTCTGTGATTTTATAGATATCCATTATCAGATTAAAGAAGTTTCCTACAGTCCTAACTTGCTGAGAATTTCTTTCTGAATTTATTATTTTTTCTCCTTTATTTTGTTAATGTGATTTTTAAATATAATTCTGAACCTACATTAACAGAATAAACCTTACTTGATCATGTGGGATTATCTTTGATGTGATATAGTTCTTGATTTAGATTACCAGTACTTTGTTTTAGACTTGTGCACCTATATATGTGTGGTATTGGCCTATTTTTTTCCACCCCTATAATACTCTTCTCAAGGTGTTTTTTTTCCGGCTTTGTAGAAGGAATTGGGCTTTGTTTCCCTTTTTTGTGTTTTCCGTTTTCTCTATTTAGTACTAAGTTACTTAATTTTCAGCTATTTGGACATTTTTTTGGTTATCTTTTCTTGTCAGTTATGACCTAATTACACAGGGGTGAAAATGTAAACAATATTGTTTCGGTCTTTTGAGATCTGTCATGATTTGCTCCAGTGGCTGAGCATATGGCACATTTCGTGAGTGTTCCACATGCATTTGAAGATAATGTGTATTTTATAGTTGTACAGTTGCTGGTGTATGTTCTACATACTGGTCAGGTTAAGGAGAAAGCATTTGTCAATTCTTTTACATCTTTACCAATTTCTTAGTCTCTTTATGCCAGTTACTGAGAGTTGTGTAGATTTATCCATTTCTCTTTTTACTGCTGCCAAGCTTGCTGCTCTAGATTTTTTGAAATTACACTGGTAGGTACGCACAGACTCATGACTGCTTTGCATTTCTATTGAATTCCCCCTCCCCTTGCCATCCTTCTCTATTTCATGTAATACTTATCGCCCAGGGTTTCATTGTCTAATGTAATGATACAGGTTGAGCATCCCTTATTTGAAATGCTTGGGACATTTCAGATTTTGGATTTTTTCATATTTTAGAATGTTTGCATTATACTCACCAGAAGATCCAAAATGTTCTAGTGAGCGTTCCCTTCAGCATCCAGTCTGCAGCAGGAAGGGTCTGGTTGCAGGTCTGGGGTCCCTCCGCCTGCACTGCTGGACCACTCAGGGGCTCTCCAGGTGTCCTCACTTCATGCTGCTTCATCAGACACTCTTTTTCCTTTACTTTTCGTTTTGTAGAAATTTCTTAAAACCCATTTGCTGGCTACTTGTTCTCATTCTTTTTGGTAGTGACAGGAGTATTTGTCCTCTTTTCTTTTGCTATCTTTAAAGGGTGTGTGAGAGGAGAGTGGAACTATGCTTTTACATTTTAAACAGAAAGTCCCTTTTGTTTATTTTTTAACCATTTATTTTCATAGATACTTCAGCAGTTGAATCAGGTGAACTCATTTCATCAAGAAGCAATCATGAAATGCTTGAAAAGTAGGAGAGAGGAGCTCAAGCAGGCTCTGTTAGGAGAAGTCATTGATATTTCCTCGGCACAGCTCCAGGATTTTGACTGGCAGTTAAAGGTGAGAATCTGTCTATGGATATGTGTGTTTTGAATTTCATTGTTTGGATATAGAGAAATATTCTTTTTTGTAATAATATGTATCTATGATTTGTTATTTTGAGAACATAGTGTCTCAAATAAATAACAAAGATCTATTAAATTCTCTGCATTGACTTAGATATAACTACACTACAAACATCCAAATCCTGTGTATAAGAACATCACATTGATAACTTTAACTAGACCTGTAAATCATTAAATGTCATAAATGGTGGATTAGTATATAGCCAACTTGTATTTTTGGCTACTGCTTTTTAGACTTTATAGCTTTCTTGAGATTGGTAAATGTGATTCTGCTTCTAGGAGGGAAATCTGTAATATGTTATGAAAGCATAAGTTCTGAAAACACTTTGAAGGGAGACTCATGGCAAGTAGGGTTCATAAGGAACAATTTCAGACCAACTTTTTGTTCTTTATATGGTATCTACCTTGGTAGATGAAGAGAAGACAAATATATTTTCTTTCTTGATTATAGTATGACCCTGGATTAAATGTCTTATATTGCCTTTGTGGATTAAGTAGAAAAAAATGTGGGAAAATTATATAGCAGGTGGATTTATAATCGAATAAATAACTGAATAAATAACCCAAAGGCATAAATTTATGTTAGCTAAGAAGGTTCCCGAGGCTCTTGTCTTGGTCCAGTCTTTAACATTTTTATGAATATTGTGCTTATCAAATCTGAGGGTGATACAAAACTAGAGATATAATAAACACGTAATATAAATATGTAATCAAAAATTAAAATTATTTTATAGCCAGTTGCAATGATAGACTAAATCAAATAATTCAATCAGGGATAACCTAAGTAGAGGATTTTTAATTTAAATAAAGATTTTATATTTTCATAAATATAAAAGATAAGGGAGAGATTAATACTGTGTAGTAGCAGATGTGAGAAATATTAGTAGTTTTGGTTCATGTAGTGTGAGACTGATGTCGAGTTACTCTTGTGTTTTGTTGGTAAAAATGCACTTCTTCAAGGAAGAGATAGTTCTAATATGTTCTGTCCAACCATTACTGCTTTTCAGTTAGTTTAATAATTGTTTTGGAACCCAACCAGAAAAGAATGACCAAGAACTTAAACTCATGGTAGGTGAACTTTCTTTGGAACACTGAGACCATGTTCCTGGGAAAGATGAAACCTAGGAGAAGCATGACACTGTGACAGACCAGAGGTCGCGTGGATGGGGGGATACACGTGGGTTTCGTGGCTCCAGAGAAGCATGACACTGTGACAGACC